TTTTTTATTTTGGGGAAGCACACTCAGAACTTGCATTTTAGGTGAAAGTCTTCTGTTTGCACACAACAATTCTCATGCAGTTGTAATGAGACTTGGTCAAAAACTCTGAAACAACGGCGGACTCTGATGTGAGGAAATCGAAACACAATAATAGGAAAGTATCAGTTTCATCAGTAAACACATGACAAACATCAGTTTTAGTAAAGTAAAAGTATTTTCTTTCAATGCTAGCAAGTAGTTTATTACACTATGGCTGAATTAGTTCATGCTCATGTTATCGCCTCATTAGTACAAGTGTACACAAATCTAAAAAAGATTGGAAATATGAAGGCTTCGACCTTAGTAAAATTAAATTCCCCTCCCTCAGCCTGACTTTGATAGCATCAGTTTCACATATCTGACTGATGTAATTTTTCTGAGATTTCCACATGGAAATTCTGAAATTTCAGATCCTTGTTTGGGATGAAATAAAGTATTTTCCCAAGAAACATGGATTTTGAGTTTTGGTAAGTTCTAGCAAACTCAAAATTCACTGTTTTTTTTGCTCAGGGATCATTTCATCTGTTTCTCCCAGAAGAAGACTCAACAGCGCTGCAATAACATGTGGTCTATATACTATTTTATTTGCTAGAAATACATCTATAATTGAAATCTCCCATGATCATTCTTCTTTTTTTTTTTTTTTACCTTACATGCACTACTAGCATGTCCTACAGAGCCATTCATTTCTCTGATCAGGTCTGCTGGTCTTTTATCCATGTGTCAATAAATGATTTAAGTTCTAGGGCCAATACATTTAAACCAAAAAATGTTACTTTTATGAATACAGTACTTCCTTTCTTTATCTACTCTGCCCAGCCTTAAAATTTTGTAGCTGGAATTTATAGGATTATATATCTGTGGATGGATGAAGGCAGTTGCATATTCACCACTGTAGAGCAAATAAAATTGAATATGTGCTTGCCTGCTACTGGGTACCTATACGTTATGTTTTTTTAATCAGTGTTCATTCCTTTTCTGTATCTCTTTTATGGGAAAATATTAGAAAAGATGAACTTAGGAAGAACTTAATTACTAGATGCACTTACTGCACTTTCCCTTGGGAATCATGTAACTGGCCACAATACATGTACAAGCTACTTTCACCTACAGCACATAATCCGCTTGGGAGCTATTTCTGCCTGAAGAATGTGTTCCTATAATACACTTTCAGAGGCCCTTACCCTACAGAACTGGGCAGTTTTCTATCCCAGCCTTCTTGAAGAAAAACACAAAACAGATTTGACGAAAACAGTTCTGCAGAAATTCATAGGAATTTTGCAAACTCTTCAACTTGATTAAAAATGAAAATTATGAAAAAAAATGAAATGCTCTGTCTCTTCAAATAAAAATAACATTTCTTTTTCACAGTCTCAATTTTACTTTTAAGCCAAAGCTTCTAAAATGTTGAAATGCACAAAGAATGTCTTATACCAGGTCAAATGAAATACTTCATCTGATCCAAGACCTTTTTGGGAATTCTTAATTTGCCAACTTTGTGGGTCAACCCAACATTATTTTATTTATTTTTTTGACCTGACAGCAAACAAAATGAAATGGATTAGTTATTCACACAGCTCTAGTGTTCTTGCAGCTCTAGCAGCAAGTGTTCTTGAAATATAGACAGTTTGGTCGTGAGAGTGAATGACCTCCCACTCCAGATATACTCCTTCTTGGCTATCTTCCCCAAAAGATTTGATTTTTGCCTTCTCGCCCTAAGTTTTACTTCCCTCGTGTTTATTATTTGATAAAGTGCCAGTAAATGTACTTGCAGGAGATCAGCAATACACCAAAGATTATTTTCTTGCTGTGTTAGTTGGATTCTTAAGCTGCTTGTGGCTTTTTTGATGTTCAAGTAGATTTTATTCTCCTGTCTGTTCTGGGATATATCACTGTTACAGCTTGAGTGCCAGAAGCTGTGTGCACAGGCAAGGCTAAAGGATAATTGTAATTGATGGGTATAAGGAGTTATCTGATGCTCTCCCTCTTATTGGACTTATTATTTCTGGAAACAAATCTAACAAAGTTCATTACTGATATAACAATAGCCAGCATACACTTAGCATGTCTGAGGAACTTTCGTTTGCAGGGTGAAACACAAGTATGAAGTCCCTTTCCTCTGCCAGGCCGCTGATGAACAGAAGGTGACTATGGGTATAGGAGTACTTGATTCGATGACAAGACTCTGGCTGTGTGGAAGAAAACGAAGTGTGGCAGAGCTGGATTGGTGCTGGGAGCAGCTCTCAGGAGTTTCTGCCATCCAGATGTGTCCATTAACCCATGCTGACACTCAAACCAGTGCTGCTTTCCCTAACCAATCATTTGCCTTGAGTTACTGCACAGGGTTGTGCCTTTCTGAAATAGTACCTAGGATGTGGTGCTTAGGAGATATTTTTCCTGCTCCCTTGTACGGTGAGGCTCAGGGAAACAAATGGGATTGACTGATTGCAGGAAAATAATTCCAGCTCTTCTGGCCTTCCTGAGTAGTGGGGGAAAGGTTTACTTACCTCATTTACACTTTCCTCTTTAACCTTGCCGTGTAATTGTGAATAGCTGCAATATGTCAAAAGCCACCGGTGCCAGTGCAGGCAGCAGCTCAGGTATTAGGCTGACGGAGCATTACATTAGCTTTTTAGCTAATTAGCATGGCTCTAGGGGGGCACCATCTGGAATAAATCTCTGAAGCAAACATTCACAGAAACCCAGCAGGCAGCTCCAGAGATTGCTGCATTTCTACTGTACTTTGCTAGAAAATAAACATATAGCTTCCATCTCCAGCACGAAGCAAAACAGTGCTAAGGCAGATACAACTCTCTCTACTAAGTAAGTGACACATTTGCTAGAACTGTGTGAATCACTGCAAGCAAAAGGTTGTGGAAACTTCAGTGATGGCAATTATATGTCGGCACAGGCAAAACAACCGTTCCTGAGTTAATGCAAAACTGTAGTGTCTTACGAGTATGTATTTTCAATAGCCTGCTTTGATAACATTGTTAATACCAGCTAATGGTTCGGTATGTGGAGAAGAGAGTAAATCATGCATTGGCAAACTGGAATAAACCAGTCAGTTTTAGCCTGCTTCTGCAACTACATACTTTGCTCTGTTTATGTTTTTCTCCATTAGAGACCCGCAGCAGGAGCTGTAAAATTTGTCATCGCCAGATCTATTCCTGCCAAGGGCTTGCTGAACGCACTAGGACACAGCATAGAAATGTCGGGCCAGGCTACTAAACCTGGTACGGATGCTTCGAGGATTAACTATGCACCTTCTTCCTCCGTGGGGCCGTTTCTGCATTCAAAAGCAAGACGGTGGGACAAGAAGAAGCACAAAGCCACTGAGCAGCATCTCAACTCCCACCAGCAGGAAGAGCCGCGGGTTCCCAGGGCCCTTCTCCTCCTGGGTACAGGATTGGGGCTCTCAACGGGGCCGGATGAGCCTGGATGGGAGCCCCAAAGCTCCTCCAGAGCTCCCAGCAAGGCCCGGTGCACCACGGGGAACGTGTCTATCAGCCATCCGAGAAGTCAGCGGTGAGCAGGCAAACACAGCCAACAAATATGTGGCCCTTGGGAAATTCGGATTTCATGTGAGGAGAAATGGCTTATCTGCAAGAAATTTGCATAAGTGCAGAGGCAAACAGATTACTTGTCAGGCACAAGGCACCTTCTGTTGTATGTAAGGTATTTGGGGCTAATCAAATTTTCATGTTTTATATACCAGAAAATCTTAGCAATTAGTATAATAATTACAATAATGTAATTAGTTATGGAACATTCAGACAAACTTCTATTTGCAAAGAGCTGCTCAAATATGTTAATAACATACAATACTACGGCTCCAGGATTAAATCTGATGGCTCTTAGCTGGCTTAACGCCACTTGGCCTTTTCTGGAAGAGCTAGTGTGGATATGGGAAACAGAATACTGTATTTTGTAGGCTTCTCCCGGTATTAAAGGAACCCTGCTGAGAAGCAGCACCATACTTCTGCGCCTAACCCTCTTGGGACATTTAGGTTTGGTACTTCGGTGCAGGACCACGCTGAGCTGCAGAGATGCACTGTGCGCTGCCGCTACGCTGTCGTCCTGCTCGCTTTACTAACTGGGATTCGTCCTGATGAGCAGGACTTTGGATATATGCAGTGACGACAATGAAAACGCTGGCATTTGTCAACAGTTCCTACAGCACTACCTGACCAGCCACAGTCCCCTGCACACCTGGAGCTGAAATAGCCACGATAACTCTGGGTATCTAGCGACATTGTAATGACTGCTGCTTATACGCGGGCCATCACGCGCGAGACTAAATGACACTCCCAGCAGCGGGTGAATAAAGCAGCATTTATACAATGCATGAAAAATGTTAAGCTCTTTTACAGATTAAAGCCATTTATAATGAGCTCAGAAGGGGAAAACAAAAGCAAGCAAGCAAACAAACAAACACACAAAAAAGGAGAGAGCAACATTTCACAAAAGCATGTATTATGAGGAAAGAATGAAACTACCACATCCTATTGCAGCAACTACCACTAAAAAGTCAGTATCTACCAATAGCTAGGACAAATTGGTATCTAAGATACTAAAATTATTTCCTATTTTAAGTATAAATGTCTCTTATTACATGCTGACTTTATAAATGGCAGCAGCAGTATCAAAGGTCCCTCATGCTCAGTCACTGCCAAACTGCACTACAAAAGCTATTAGTAACAAAACCCAGCAATTCTCAAGCAAATTCTCAAGCAAAGAACAAGACGAAATTCATTTTTTTGTTAATACTTTCATACAATATCAGACTTATTTTTAAAGAAAAATATGGTGGAATCATCTGTTTTAATATCTCCACCATAATTACGAAAAATTCTGTTTCTTAAAGCATTCAGTAATTACACTTTTCTCTTCATGGTGATAAAGAGAATTTGTGTGTACATTAACATTTTTGTAAAACTGCTTTTAGAAATTTCACTTACCAAAATGAAGAGACAACCAGAGGCAAGTTTTGTGTGTTCAGGAATAGTAGAAAACACGGACAAAATCAAGCAACCAAACACAAGGAGAAAACTGAAAAAGAAAGAACACAAAAAATCATTAATATCTTTTTCAGAACACTGACTCAAATATCATATATTGATCCTGCTTCACCAATGGTCTTCATTAATAAAAGGAAATTGATTCACTACTTAGTTCATTAAGGACATTAGAATAACCTATTCACAAACTAACTGCTTCTGAGCAGCACTGGTACAACCTCTGGTAGATGTATCGAAAGCTAAACCACAAGAATCAGTATTTTTTTTTCATGAAATGACCCAGTATACACAGTTATTTTGGTATGTTTATCCAATCCAACCACTCCTAGTGGCTCTAAGAAAAGATCATCAAAAGGAGAGATCTCTCCTCAGTCTGAAAAAGAATTCCTGTATGGACAACAGACTTCATGTCCAAGTGGGCGGACATTCAAAGGTAGCTGAGTTACGGCATCACTGTCCTGGCTGACCAAGTTCCACTTTGGGAGTAAATGTAAAATCATGCAATCAGCTAAGGAAATTAAAACACAGGAGTAAAGCTAGATGATCTCACACAAGTCATGAGGTCCCTGTTGGGAAAAAACTGCTGCAATTTTGGCTGTGCAGACTAGCTCACATGTTCTATGGGACTGATGGATACATGCAGGCAAAGCACTGCGTGGACACGTAGCTCAAAGATTTTGCAAGGAAGATGCAAAGAGCTGGTATCACTGCAGAAATTCTCACATATCCCATGTCTGACCCTTCCTGCATACAGCGCATACACAGTATTTGCAGCTGTGAGCCTGAAGAGCTGCTATTGCCCTGGGGCCCACACCAAGGATGACAGGGAAGTTTCTTTGCTTTTGTACTACTTTGCCACTGTGCTGGTAAAAACCCACTGTTTCTGAAACACCTCAGAATAAAAGTTCATTTCACCAATGATACCATGCAATGGCCAGTCATGCAGCACACTGAATATCACCAAAACTGCAAGACAGTGCATATTCTGTAGTTTTTATTGTAGTGCTTGTAACAGATTTTGTAAGTGGTAAGAGTTGATTCCATCTTTCTTTTTTTTCTTTTTGGCTATTTCCTTCTCCAAACACTTGTCAGTCATGTTGGCAATCAATCAGTCACAAAAGGACAGGCCTTTGGATCCTGCCTGAATTGCTGGCAACTTGAATTGCGGAAGTGATAGTAAATGCTCTAACTCAACACAAATACGCATTGCAATTAAAGCAGAAATATACCTGTAGCAAAATACAAATGGCTCCTTCATGATAAGAAAGGTGTTGAAATATCTTCCAGGGCAAAGAGGAAAAAGTGTATAAATCACTGTTCTACATAGCTGATGCAGACATTCGTCAATCTGATGAGTTTCCATTAACAAACACAATCATCACACTGAGGACAAAGCAGGCAGCTCTCCAGAAAAGTGCTCTGGGGTCCTGGTGGACAAGCTGAACATCAGTGAGCAGTGTGCCCTTGTACCAATGAAATCTTACCGCATAGCAAACTGTACTAACAAGAACCTTGTCATGAGATTGAGAAACGACGTCTGGAGTGTTGGGTCCAGTTTTGGGGTCCCCAAATAAAGAGACAAAGTGATGTGAGCCCAGTGGAGGGCGACCAAGATGGACAGAGGCTGGAGTTCACGATGGACAGGGGGAGCTGAGTTTGCTCATCCTGGACAAGAGGAGATCAAAAGATACGATTTTTGTCTTCAACTACCTAATTCTGGCTATAGTAGGAGAGACAAGGCACAAATTGCAGGAAGGAAAATCATGACTAGCTATAAGAAAAAAAAATCACAGTGAAGGGGGTTCAGCCCTGGAACAAGTTGCCCAAAGAGAGGCTGTAAATCTATGTCTTTGGAGACTTGCAGAACTCAGCTGGAAAAGGCTCTGACCTAACTTCGGAGTTAGCTCTGCTCTGAGTGGAAAGTTGGACTAGATAACCTAGAGATCCTGTCCAACCTAGATTCTTCTCCGATTTTAACTACTAGAATCAAACTTTAGTATCATATCATTGCATCAGTCCCCAGTTTCACTTCAGGAATTAAATACGATCTTCTCCTTATAAGATACAGACTTTTCAGTGAGATGATAGTTTTTAGTGTCATATATCCACTGCATTAATGAAAATGTAAGTCCATATCTTCTGAATTTTTATTACAAAAGCTGACACGCACCATGGTAAGATACTGGAAGCAAATTTTGTCACATACCACTTCACCACTGGAAAGAAGTTCCTGCCTGAAAATCAAGTCTGATAGGAACTTGCATATAAATTCTATTAAAAAATAGAGATTGATGAAGATAAAGCAGCAATGGTTTCATAGTGCCCAAGAGGGTAGAACAGTGTCTTTTACATGCCATTGGTTCGAGACCACAGAAAGAAAAAGATCAGCAGATATATGCTTAAAGTTTTCATAGAAGCCTCGTTCAAGGGACAATGATCCAACTTCTGAACTATCTTACTCTTCCTGCTCCCCACTTTTTAACTCTGGGAAAATTTCCCAGAACGTTACTAGTACTTTCAGCTTCTCAAGGTCTTCGGATATGAACCCTCTATAACTGAGTCCTACAGGCATAAATGTGGTTTTTCCCAGTTAAGACTTGCAGGGAGGGCAAAATAAAATGGAGAAGTGACTTAGTATCTACAGTAAAAGGATGTTATTTTCTTTGCCAACTTTTTTTAGCCCTGCATCAGTTAAAATAATATTTTCTTCCTTCTTTTGTGTTTAGGAATTAAAAATTGCTCTTGTTTAGCTGTATTCCAATAATACCAATCAAAACTGAGGCCCAGTTGTACTGGATCTTGTCCAAGCACACAGTGCAAGTTTTCACTTGGAAGAGATCTCTTATAGCACAATTATAGAAAACAGACGCTGTAGAAAAAAAAAAAAAAAAAGGCAAGTTTGTGACTCCCAGGTCTCCATAGGTGGAGATCACTGCGCAGAAAAGGTAATCCGGTAGCCTAAGGCTACTCACTTTGGCAGAATGGTGGAATAAGTGGAAACCTTTTTGTGTCCTAGCCCAGTCCCAGTGTCACAAAATCACCCTCCCTCGTAAGCACTGAGGATGAATTGCCACATTGCCTCAGGACTGTCATTTAGAAGATCAGTGTGGGCAAATGCTTGTTAAATTGGAAAAGCGAGTCGAGAGAGAGAACCAGAACAGTACGGCAGTGCATTAATCAAAATAAAGTAAATGTCCGGGAAAGCCAGGTGCACAGTTTAGATTAGCACCTGGGTAGGCATAGTTTTGCAGATTATCCAGGAGAAAGAGAAACAACCCTCACAGTAATACCCAAGAATAGTCTTGGAAAGATATTTTTCCAAACCTCTATAACCTTTTGTTCTCATTTTTTTTCCAGGAGCTTTACAAGAAATGAGGAAAATGAGGAATTGTTATTAATTTATTATTAAAGAACGAAAAAAATGTTTGCATTTGTCCACCCAAATCTTGACCTTCTATACCTCATTCCTTCCTCCACCAGTGAGCACTTTTTTTTTCTCCTGCTATTCAGCACATTATGTCTAAAATTAGTCTCTGAGCCCTTTGGAGGAAGGGAGAAGCTCAGTCCTTCTATTAGCCTCGCAAAGCAAAAGCACAATTCAGGGTGCTGTAAAACACAACATGAGCAACAAAAGTAAAAGATTTAGCTGTTCTGGGACATTTTCTGTTCTTTATTTACCACCGAAGCGCTTTCCTTCAAAATAAACTAATAGCCAGGATTCACCTTCTACTTTTTTTTTTTTTTCCTTCTTCTTTTAAAAAAATTACTCTGCTCCTTGGGCAACAAAGTGGAAGTGACACTTCATTGCAGGGAGGTTGCCCGGAGAGCTCAACCCATAGCCAGAATCTCAGCAGACAGCTGGGTCCCACAGAAGCAAAGCCATCAGATTCAGGTTCAAACACCGCAGTGGTCCAGTCCTACCAAAACTTGTTCCTTGCTCTCCTGGACTATTTCTATGAGGATGGATGAAGAGTAGAGGATTTTATTAGACCTCGCATTACCTAAAAGAGGAGGAGGTATTTTCAAATGCCAGCTATGAAGCATGCAATACAAGAGGATGCTGCTGTAGGTGCACAGTGGTACAAGGCAAAACACAATGCAATTATATTTGGCCTCCAGTGTTTCAATCTGGATCGTATATTTGTTCAGGCTGAAAAAAACAGATGGTCTTTTCTCATGTGTTCAGTATCAGATAGTAAAACATATGCCTTAGGCAGCAAGTTCCCATAAAATTATTCAAGCACTGCCATAGTCTTATATTTTATCAAAAGCAGCAACTTCCATTTTATTTCAACAGTAATCAATTCTGATGCAGCTCCTTTCATCTTATTTGCCTGCTTTTAAAAACATACACTAATTGGAGAAAAGCCAATTTATGAAAGATAATATAACTCAGAAGCTTTGATATTTATTCAATCCACCTCTCATAAACTTTTCTTCCTAGCTAATTAGTAAGTACCAATTCTTCATTTATTTAATTTTCAGCAGAGTTTTGCCACAGTTTATGATTTCAGGGATGGTCATATGGCAGAAAATGTTCAGTTTAAAAAAATTGTTAAAACATTAGTCAGGGAAAATCATCATAAGCATATGTACCAATGAAGATCTTTAAAAGCTGTTTTGCTACATTATATAGTGCTAGAATTAAAAAAATGGAAGTTAAACATCTGCAAACAGTTTTGTGACCTCTTCTGTAATAATAAAAGTGTATCACTGTTAAAATGGCATAATTAACCAATTAGACCACCAGAGTTATGTTCCAGTATTATTTGAGGCCTAATTTAATCCCCATAAAAGCAAGGCTATTTAGGATTATGACCATAGCTGCATATAAACCGCTCACAGTGCCCTTGTCCTGGCATTTGTATGGAAGGGGAACAAGTGCTTGAAAGCTTTTGCCCAGAAAGCAGCTTTTCCTTTTCCCCCTGATACAAAGTCAGAGGTAATGAGATGGCTGCAGGCCTTCAGAAATCTGGTTACATTTGGGAGGTCTGAGTCTACAGTGAAGCTAGCGGGGTTCCTCTGTAGTCCCTCTGATAGTCAGAAACTGGAGATGATTTCTTCACAGTGCTCAGGGTTTTTCTGGGTTGAATACCATGTACCACCGTTATATTATTTTTAAATGTTAAATATATAAAATTCATGGGAGGCACTAGATAACGAAATAGGTGAAGTTTATAGACGATGTATGGCATCAGTAATATTAATCTGATAGGGTACAAATGAAAGCCTCAGGAAGGTGGATGCACTCTCAAGTGAAAACAGGAAGAACTGGAAAGGAAGGAAGGAAGCAGGTGGTCTCCTTCAGAGGGACTATTGATTTGGGTGAAGAGCTCTCACAAGAAACACAGTGACAGATTTTGGGTAAAAGTGGGTTGTGCTGCCCACTTAGGGTAGGGCAAAATCAATCAATCTCAAAATCCCTGCTACACGCTACCCGTACCCTCACCCCTCTTAATTTGTGGGAAGGAGGGTACTTTATGACTTCAGTGTGTCGTGAGGCTGATGGGGAGAGGGAAAAAGAACATTTGCTATGTTAGAGGAGAGGAGAGAGGAGAGGAGAGGAGAGGAGAGGAGAGGAGAGGAGCCTTTGCCTGCGAGCTGATGCACCACAGCACATCCCGAGCAAACCTGCATGGTTGAGGCAGGAGCGCAGGCGGAAACCAAAGAGCTCCAGTGAAAGTCTGTGTGCAAATTCCTAGGGGTGGGTGGAAATAACCTCTCCAGAAGGATACAGAAAGACAAATGCTGAAATATTTTCCCAGCTTCAGGAAGAACTGAAAGCAAAAACATCAGCTCATGCAGGCTGGAGGAGGAGATGTACGCAGGTCCTATGCTATCTCCCTTAAAAAGCAATCTTTTCAGCATTTCTATAAAACAGATAATGCACCGCTGACATGGTGGAAAAGAATCCAGCTTAACAGTTTTGATAGTGCAAGCCATGTGGATTAAATTTTCCATCATTTATAGTTTCAATGTGACTTGTTTATGCAAGAAAATGAGATATGACAAAGGTTATTACAATTTGTTAAAAATGTTTGACAAAAGCTGCATGGAGAATAAGCGCTCTTCCATAGAGGAAAGCTCATAAATTTCTCCCGTAAGCTTTCCTTACAATGACTTGCTCTTCAACCTCCTTTCCAAGAGGAAGAACATAACACATTAGGGCTTGATACTGTGTTGCTTTCTACCTGGAAAACAATAAAAAACCACTGTTTACAAAGAGATGGAATAAGGTGACCTCCTTGTCTTAAAATGAGAAAATAAATCATGTAGGAAAATTTAGGAATAATTTAGCAACCCTCAAAACTTTTTTCTGTCTTCCAGTTATTACCTTTTTCAGAAGTACAGAAATTGGACCTGAATTTCATAACTGATTTTATTTTTTTATAAACTGAGCTTGCTGCTGCCACAAGTGGTTTGAAAAAGTGAGTGTGGTTAGGCTCTGCTGCATAAATTTTATTCAGACAATATTTTATTGTTCATTTC